GCACGAAAACAGAGAATTGCTGTGTTGTTGTGGACAATGGGATATGTGGGGAAGCCTAATCATGCTGGGTGGGGGCTGTGTAACGTTCTCAGAGATTTTCTCGATGAGAGAACTGGGAACTGGGGGGGGTTCTAGAGACGGAAAAGAGAGCAGTCGCTAGCACTGTGTAGTTCTGTGTAGTTTCAAAATAACAAAGTTTGCAAGCCTTTTTGAGCAAGGAATCTCGTCTACGGTGAATTTCTATCTATCTACTGTGTGTATATATATATATATATATATATATATATATATAATATATACCAGCGGGCTCATCCAGGGACCATCCCTGGATGAGCCCGCTGGTTCTGGCCAATGGACACCGAAGCGCCCTCTCCGCGTCCACTCTTCGCCCCGATACTTTGATTGTTGGGGATTCCATCGTGAGGCACGTCCGCTTTTTAACGCCGGTCACTCACTGCATTACCGGAGCCACTGTACCAGACCTGCTCATCCGTCTCCTCCTCGCTTCAGTCCCTGCCTGATACCATTCAAAGGTAATCGTGCATGTGGGACAACGGACATGAGCTGCAGCAGTCGAGTTGTCACAAAGAGATTTTATGGATCTATTCCGCCTCCATAGAGTCGGAACTAGGGGTGCGGGGGGTGCGGCCGCACCCCTCCGCGTGGGTTGTGCCGGGACGGCGAGAAGGTTATTACTATCTGCGTTCCTTGCAGCCAAAAACCCGCTCCATGCTGTCGGAGAAAGCTTATGAAGCTCTGTCTGGGCTAATATCTGTCGAGCCTTCTGAGCGCTCTTTCTCAGCCTGGTTTTTACGCAGATTAGAGACCTGGTACCCAGTGGAGTGCGGTGGGGGATCAATCATGTGTTCATATGATTATACATCATATAAACCACAGGAACCTTACAGGAACAGGAGCGGCTTATACACAATTTGTTTGGCTACAGCAGAATATGATTTAATGTCTTGCATGGTTGTCTCATACCAAATCGCAAACGTTTGTAAAAAGTACAATGTGTGTTATGCGGCTCTTACTTAGGTATTAATGAATCAGCACGACCACTTCAGTTCAGGACAAGTTCATGTTTAAGTCAGTAATAGTTTGAGCAGCACAGACATGATAATCCCTCCATTTGGAAATAAGTTTAATGTGTTTTAAAAATGTAAAAAAAAAACGGGGTGTCTCCTCCGTAAAACTCCGAGTTTTTGCTGCAGCCGACTCCCGGGTAAATCCAATTTCTAAATTCAAACCTTTCCCCATTCAACTCCTTTTCTTATGAATTTCATATCATCATTGGAAGCAAAACATTAAGTGCATTTCTAAAGTGCATTAAAATGTATTAAGGTATCTTAGCCAAACTGTAGCTGCCCTTAGACAGAAGAAGACAAGAAAGGAGCTTTCTGATGGAATTGGATGCAGCCAAAGTTTGGGGCTCACAAGCGCCCCTTGAGGCTTTCCTCACTTACAAGCAGTGAGGATTGAGCGCGATTAAGGACCCATATTTTGCTTCAAAAACACAATTTATGGAGCCATCCTCTTAAATGTAAACATGTTGATTGTAAATTAAATATTTTTGGACTTTTTAAACTGTGATAAACATAGAGAAAACAGTTTGAATAGCACCTCACAGGGGACTCTCCCTGTGAGCTGTTGCTTTTTTAACGTCTCCCAAGAGAGGCTCGCCTCACAGCACCGCTCTGTCAAATCTGCGATTTCAAAAAGGTATAAATAAATGAAATAAGGCACAGCACAAATCACTTTGATAAAGTGACCAAACTTTATTGTATCCATTTTATTACTTTTCTTTCTATGATCTTAGGTGAGGCCCTTGCCTGCCTCATCTGACCGGCACGTCACTGGGCTACACAACACAATGAAGCCACCGGAGAGACTGACGCATGAATGCGTATTGAAAAAAAAAAAGTTCAGTTTGATAAGTGACTCGCTTGATATATATTGTTTATTTGTGTTTTTTCCACTTAACAATTAAGATGGTATGTTATTATCCAGTGTAATCCAGTATGAGTCTCTCGCCCTCGACATGTCTCTCCCAACAAAACCCGCCCCCCCTCCAGCACCCGAAAATAGTTTGTTCCGACGTCCATGCCGCCATGTTGGTCAGTGCTCCCCGAGGGGGGCGCGTGACTGTTTACATCCGAGGTTTCTCGGCCCAAGCCCCGGCGAATCCAAGATGGCGCCCTATTCAAATGATATTGGTTGTGCCTCAGTGCGCTTTGTGACGGCATGGGGGCTGAAAGATTAGCGGAAGTTGCCTGAACTCGCAAAAGTTCTATTGGGGAAACTCGCCTGTATTTGGGCATAGTCTGGTCCTCCCTGTTTGCGCAGTGGATGATCTCCCATAAGCGTTGCGCCAAACACGCGTGATGTGGGGGTCTCAACACCAGGTCTCACGCACGTGCACAGAGGGGCTCGCCTCGCGCTCTGACCCAATCAGAGCAGTTCCTCAGAGCGGAGTTAGAGCGAGAGCCAGACGAGCAGTGGTTTGTGTGTGCACTAAGTGTGGATTTTCAATGATTACTTAACATACAGCATTGATGGCCATGTTAATCTGAGCTCCCATGGTGCTTTGTACCTCATTTTAAGGCTATTTTCAAGAAAAAAAATAACATAATTTATTGTCTTCTAAAAATGCTCGATCCTTCCAATAACTTTAACCCAGTTTTGGTTCAGTCCAAACATACTGTAATTGCACTAGTTTTTGTTTAGAAAATTGAGGAGAAATTCATCTCCAAACTCAGGTTAAAGTAAGGTAAACCTTTTGTATAAAACATTCATTTTCCAATATCCACAGATTCAAAGATAAGCTTCAAACTTTTTTTCCTTTTGGCCCCAGGGATCTGTCATTCTTTAAATCCAGCCTCCGGCCAAAATGAGTTTGACAGCCCTGAGTTAGGGCGAGATGCACAGTCATTAGTCCTGTATCTACAGCTCGTCCGTCTGTTTTAACTTGAATAAACACAAATTTAAAAGAAGGACAGCAGTTAGACGGTCCAACTCTGGAAATCTAATTCCAGTTCTTTGTAATCAATCAACTAAACCCATTGACACTGATATTAATTTTAACCTTGCTCTACTTAATGTCAGATCACTATGCAACAAATCATTTTTAATTAATAATTTTATCTGTTCGTATGATCTTGATTTTATGTTTATGACTGAAACATGGCTTGACCATAATACAGGAGATGCAGTTTTAATAGAAACAACACCACCAAATTTCAAATTTGAACATGAAACACGAGAAAATAAAAGGGGGGGGGGCATAGCAGCAGTTTTTAAAGATCGTATTGTCTCCCATAGAGTGTCTCTTGGGAAATTTTCATCATTTGAGTATGTTTCTTTTAAAATAGAACAAAAGAAATCTTCTTCCATTCTTATTATTGTTGTGTACAAGCCGCCACAGTCATGCCATAGTTTCACTGATCATT